AAGTTGTACCTATTACTCCGCGTAGCCCTCCCTCCAGACAACTAGAAGTTGAACTCTTGTGTGACAAGGTGAAAAGCTGAAGACAGCATCACATGCAGTGATAACACACATCAAAATACACCCAGCCAAACATATGGAGTACCTACAAAATCAGACTTGACTTGCTCTGAAAGTCTCAAACACAAAATTAGATTTTTGCACCTCTGCTGGCAGCATTCAGAACAATATATCCAGACAAGGGTTGGCTTTATCTAAGGAAAACATAGAAAAGCTTTTCTTTAAAAACACCAAAGCAAACCCTGAGGTAGACTCACAATTGCTTTAGAGTATTTTCAGATGGGTAATGCTAGGCCAAAGCAAAGGCAGGCTTGAAAAAGGCTGTTTCGTGGCATTCTGCACACTGACAAGACAAAGTCTGGCTAGGATGCCAAGTGAGCTGCAGGAAAGCATGATCAGAAGCTAAGGTGACAATCTGGTATCGTCTGAAAAATCATCACCTCATAATGGCATCAAAACACAAAAAAAACTTGCAGTGCTACTGACTCAGCCACCGGGATTTGTCTTTGGTGAATTCTACCAGGAGGTGGTGCCAGCTGGTGGGAACAAACCATGACCGCACCACTTCACAGTATTTCCTAAAAGTAAAACCGACTGTGCCCAGCATGCTTCCACGCTCTCAGAAAAGGCAATAACCAGGAGCAAAAGAAACTTACCCACATCAACAAGGAAAAGCATCACTTCAGCAAAGATTGCAGAGAAAGGTAGCAACGTAGTTGGTCAGTACAAGGCAGGAGAACGGGCACGCTTGCAAGCATACAAGCTCTTTTCAGGTTAAATTAGGCAGCATCCGATTATTTCTCCCACAGTAGTTCAGAAAGCTGTGCTTGGCTGCAGCCTTCCCAGTGCTTGCCGTAGAGCTGGCGGCAGCCTGAGGGGGCCTCTTTCGGATGACCATGACCTGGTTACAGCAGGGTGTTACGTGCTGTGCTGCCATTAGAGAAAAAATGAAAGGGATAAGGAGGACAACGGGAAAGCGAGCAGCTCTCCAGGCTTGGTCCCCACAATCATCCAAGCCTGGAAGCACATCCCACCAAGGTAGACAGAAGAAATACGACGGCTCTCACACAGAAAACATTTTTCAAAGCAGGAAAGCAGACAGCTGTGCTGCTAGGTCAGAATCTACTTCGTTGAGTGCGCTGACTTCTGGATGATGCAAAGCTCCTGTCTTGTACTGATAGGCATGACAATTAAGATTTTTTTTTTTTTTTCTTAAGAATGTGTAGGTTAAAGCTGCTGATTTTATGACTTGGCTGTCTGGTGTAGGATAGTACATCAGGAGAGACATCCTTCGAGGTTCTTTGCAATCATACCTTATTTTACATGGCCTTAGCACAATTCCTATCCCAGTTACAACAACTGGCTTGTTCCTACTCATTAACAAACACGGGGCTGCTGATGGAAATATTCCATTTATTGTGGATGCAGTTTCAGAATACATTGTTTGAACAAATCATTTTTATTGCAGCTATCGGATGTATCTGGAAGACTCAGAGGAGTGTTTACAAAAACCCCCAAAGAAAAAACATGACAACTCACAGACAATGTCAGGCAGATTCACCCCCTACAGATAACTACGTGCATCTCTATATGTAAACAAGATGTTTCAGCCAAGCAGGGGAGCTCATCTTTGGGTTGCAATATAACGTTTTTCTTCTTTAGGAAGAAGTCAGACGCTGTAAGAGATGGAAGTGGTGAAAAGGGAGATCCTGGTAGTTCTGATGCACAACAAAGCTGTTAACAACGTGCTTAGGGGGTACTTCAGTTGCTCAGTTTATGCCACCCATACACTGTAGGATGTAAATGCTAAACTGTATGGCATGTAAATTCAAACCAAGCTGACGTCTTATAGCCATGTGTTTACTATATACAAATGAAAACATCTGTAAATAAGATATTTGGGAGAGAGAGTTAAAAAGAAGCACTATAAAGACAGAGGTTTACTTCATTTTAGGTGGACTTAGTGTACGGCACTGATGGATGGCAAGATTTAGTGTACAGTCATTTGAAACAAGCTCCAACTGTGTTTAGTTTTTTTTTCTTTTTAATTATGGTAGTTTTATATAAATTAAACTACAACGTTTTATACAAGTGACCTATTTTTGACCATCTATACCCTTACCTTTTCCTCTTTTAAAAACTATACTTTCTTTTTAATTACCCATTACTGGGCAATTGACATTTAAAATTTTTTAATCTTATCTCACAGGAAAGCATGATCAGAAGCTAAGGTGACAATCTGGTATCGTCTGAAAAATCATCACCTCATAATGGCATCAAAACACAAAAAAAACTTGCAGTGCTGCTGACTCAGCCACCGGGATTTGTCTTTGGTGAATTCTACCAGGAGGTGGTGCCAGCTGGTGGGAACAAACCATGACCGCACCACTTCACAGTATTTCCTAAAAGTAAAACCGACTGTGCCCAGCATGCTTCCACGCTCTCAGAAAAGGCAATAACCAGGAGCAAAAGAAACTTACCCACATCAACAAGGAAAAGCATCACTTCAGCAAAGATTGCAGAGAAAGGTAGCAACGTAGTTGGTCAGTACAAGGCAGGAGAACGGGCACGCTTGCAAGCATACAAGCTCTTTTCAGGTTAAATTAGGCAGCATCCGATTATTTCTCCCCCAGTAGTTCAGAAAGCTGTGCTTGGCTGCAGCCTTCCCAGTGCTTGCCGTAGAGCTGGCGGCAGCCTGAGGGGGCCTCTTTCGGATGACCATGACCTGGTTACAGCAGGGTGTTACGTGCTGTGCTGCCATTAGAGAAAAAATGAAAGGGATAAGGAGGACAACGGGAAAGCGAGCAGCTCTCCAGGCTTGGTCCCCACAATCATCCAAGCCTGGAAGCACATCCCACCAAGGTAGACAGAAGAAATACGACGGCTCTCACACAGAAAACATTTTTCAAAGCAGGAAAGCAGACAGCTGTGCTGCTAGGTCAGAATCTACTTCGTTGAGTGCGCTGACTTCTGGATGATGCAAAGCTCCTGTCTTGTACTGATAGGCATGACAATTAAGATTTTTTTTTTTTTTTTCTTAAGAATGTGTAGGTTAAAGCTGCTGATTTTATGACTTGGCTGTCTGGTGTAGGATAGTACATCAGGAGAGACATCCTTCGAGGTTCTTTGCAATCATACCTTATTTTACATGGCCTTAGCACAATTCCTATCCCAGTTACAACAACTGGCTTGTTCCTACTCATTAACAAACACGGGGCTGCTGATGGAAATATTCCATTTATTGTGGATGCAGTTTCAGAATACATTGTTTGAACAAATCATTTTTATTGCAGCTATCGGATGTATCTGGAAGACTCAGAGGAGTGTTTACAAAAACCCCCAAAGAAAAAACATGACAACTCACAGACAATGTCAGGCAGATTCACCCCCTACAGATAACTACGTGCATCTCTATATGTAAACAAGATGTTTCAGCCAAGCAGGGGAGCTCATCTTTGGGTTGCAATATAACGTTTTTCTTCTTTAGGAAGAAGTCAGACGCTGTAAGAGATGGAAGTGGTGAAAAGGGAGATCCTGGTAGTTCTGATGCACAACAAAGCTGTTAACAACGTGCTTAGGGGGTACTTCAGTTGCTCAGTTTATGCCACCCATACACTGTAGGATGTAAATGCTAAACTGTATGGCATGTAAATTCAAACCAAGCTGACGTCTTATAGCCATGTGTTTACTATATACAAATGAAAACATCTGTAAATAAGATATTTGGGAGAGAGAGTTAAAAAGAAGCACTATAAAGACAGAGGTTTACTTCATTTTAGGTGGACTTAGTGTACGGCACTGATGGATGGCAAGATTTAGTGTACAGTCATTTGAAACAAGCTCCAACTGTGTTTAGTTTTTTTTTCTTTTTAATTATGGTAGTTTTATATAAATTAAACTACAACGTTTTATACAAGTGACCTATTTTTGACCATCTATACCCTTACCTTTTCCTCTTTTAAAAACTATACTTTCTTTTTAATTACCCATTACTGGGCAACTGACATTTAAAATTTTTTAATACTTATCTCACCATACCTCTAATGGCAATTATGAAATCTTAATATAGAAAAGTGTGTGATTTTGTCTTTATTTTTTTTAAGCTTTTTTTGTCTTTATTTTTTTAAGCTGTGATATTGGCTAATTATGTATGTTTATTACTAAATAATACTCTAGCTATAGAAAAGTGTGTGATTTTGTCTTTATTTTTTTAAGCTGTGATATTGGCTAATTATGTATGTTTATTACTAAATATAATACTCTAGCACGTATTAAAGCATTCTACCATTAATAGTGCCTTTAGGCTAAACTTTTTAAAGCTATGTGTGTATATATTCTAAATTGCATTCAATTACTAGTCACTAACAACAAAAAGAAATATCAGTACCGCTGTCAGCTAACATAATCATCCAAATTTAGGTATTAACTTAAACTAGAATGGAAAAATTGATACTTAAAAAAAGTATAAAACAAAAAAATTAAAACACGTTATTGATGCAGTATTTCTCATGACATGGGCAACTTACAGAAAATATTACATTGTCAACTAAAGATATTTCTTCCATGCCTTAGTCTAAAGTGCAGAAAGAAAGACTTCTGTATTACAAAAGTAACCATTGTTTTTATAGGTTTACTGCACACCTTTCTTAAGCAACTTCACTTTACACGCATTTTGGGTTGACCTGTTATGCCAGTTGAAATCACTGTTCAGATTCATAGTTATGACTATCAGTAGGAGAGTCTATATATTTCACAGCATGGGTTTCTTTAGGAATAAAGGCTCTTGTGCAAAGGCAGTACTATTATGATGAATGTCTAGACTGATTATTAAATACAGTGCTAATATACATGGTTTTAACTGGGATAATGCAAAAAGACATTTTGGTAAATAAACATAAATATAAAAAGAACAATTTAGCACTTTTTCCTTTTTTTTTTTTTTTCCCGCAACAGATTGGTCCAGCGTCTTTAGCGGCCTTCTATGGTTCTTTCTCAAATTGTCTCAAACCTGCTGAGAAAGAGAAAGATTAAAGATGGCTTGAAATAACCCAAACGTATCTCTAAAATAGAGAAGGCATGGCTCTAGATTAACACACAGCATGTAAGAAGGCAGGACACAAGGTGGATGCTGCTGTGCTCTTGCAGTGGGATTGCTCAGAGGTGGTCTCCAAGAAGACAAGCAGGATTTCACCTCTCTCGCCTCCGACAGCCCCGGGAAGCAGCTCAGGGAGAGCTCAGGAACTTCCCACCCAGAAATGTGGGGGGTGCTGCACGAGGCGCCCTTCCCGGCCACGCATGGGTGGCTGCCATGCTAAGGCAGGCCGTGCTGCAGTGCTTGGTGCACGCACTCCGAGTCCACGGCAAGACTGAAAGCCATCTCCTGAGAGCCTCCTCCTACAACCTCTCTGCTGAAGCCCTCATCTCACTCAGCCTTAGAGGAGAGGCTCGGCAGTGTCCGAAACGCTCAGCAGGGTCTGCTCCTGTAAGCAATGATGCGCGACCACTAACACCTTCTGTGGGAGCAGAGCAGTGCTAACGCTGAGCGAGCCTGAAAACCTCTCTCTTAACAGCTTGGTTTGAAAAAGGGTAAGAGGAGGAGGAAGACAATTCCATTTTGCATGGCTCTAAACTGATAAGAAAAGTTCACAGGCATACCATAGCTCTGGATTCACACACAAATGTGAAGAAAAATGTGTGCACATACTAATGTGTACATCAGGAAACCAAAAGTTTTTCTATATATGATCATTTCATTTCTAGTGAAGAGTCAAGGGATGTTGCAAGACATCTTAAAGCTATTAAATTGACCAGTGAATTTCCATTCTTCCCCACTGATCCTTAGGCACATATTTCCTTTAATTGGTTTTATTTGGAGTGTTTTAGATTAAAATAAAAATTTTAAAAGTGCACAAAAGCTAGGAGGGGAATTTTGCAGATTTATTTCTGTACAACTAGGTTGTGTTTCCCAAACTAGCAGTTTCAAAATGACAGTAGTAGGACTCTTTCTGCCTTGAGAAGTCACCAATGGACCGCTCCAGCAAAAGCAGTGCTGCTGTTGAGTGCATTTGAACTCCATTCCAGTCTGGGTATGCAGGAGCACGAGACTCACAACTAGCCAGAGGAATTATTTTTAAAAATCAACACTGCTGAATTTTCATCAGGCTTCACCATTACCCAGTGGCAATGTTTAAAATCAGATGCAGGGCTCATTCTCAGTAGTACTGAGATCTTCCATTTCTGCTCAAATAATGCTGCTGCAGCCGCCTTGCTTTTTGGGTTCCCCCTCTTCACTCATGAAAGGTATATCCATTCCTGCTGCAGCCTTTAAAAGAGCCTTTCCCAGATGCCTTGCATTTGCTGTAATTAGTTAAATGACCATCCCATTCCTCGGACTTCACACAGTTTAATGACGCTCTCCAGCTACAGCAAACATGCTACGCATGTCACTCAAACAAGGCTTTGCAAACATGGCTGGAGCACTGCTAGTGCTCAGTCCTCCTAGAAAGATGACTTAGGCTTATTTCTCAAACATTCACGTTTTGATGATATTGCAATGGAGGTTTTGAAAGGTAAAGGCAAAAAGGGGAGGTTTTTTGCATCAACATTAACAGCTGTAGTATTTTAAAACTCAGATGTGCCTGTAGGAAAATGTGGCAAAGTTTCTACTTAATATGCAGGTGTATTATTAGAATTACTTACCATTAGTCTCTGATTTTTTCCCCATAGCTGATACCTGTTTGAAGAAATAATAACCCATTATTAAAGTTGAATATGGGAAAACATAGCTGTTTATAACAGGAAAAAAAAAATCAACTCCATGCAAAGGACAGATTTCCATGCACAACACAGCTCTGCCAAATAGGAATACAAAAGTTACACGCTGCCCATGGCTTTCTGTGCCTCACTGTACTTTCTTTTATAGACAAAAAAGCAGGTTAGTAACAAAAAACACGTAGAGGCCTAATTCCAACTAACTGATCATATGAAGGCAAACAGCACCTTCCCCCTAGAAAGCCTCCCACAGAGATATTATCCTTTTAACAATGCGGTGAAGTGTTACCTTAGAAGAAGAAGAAGATGGCTTTTCAACTGACTGCTTCTCCCAGAGATTACGTTTGCCGGATACGTCTCCTGGTTTTAAATCCTGTATTTTTTAATTAATGGCAGAGAACAGAAACCAACATTAGTTCAGGTTTATTTTAATTTGGTAGAGAAGAAGTTAGAATGTGACTTCCTCATAAGAAAAGTTGAGGAGCATCCACCAGTGGTCAATATTACATTGTCTATCAATTATAAAGCTATTCAGAATGACACTTCACATAATCACTCCACACATATACATGCTTTACAACAAAAAACAATCCTGCTGCATCTATTCAGTATTTCACAGACTGGCCATAACTTTTAATGTTCATCCTAGGGAGTACAGTGAAAAGTTACTGCACTATCAGGTTTTTAAGAAAGACAATTCCAATTTTTGCAGAAAAAAAGATTTTTTCAGAAATAGTATTTCTATTAGGGAGGAATTCAAAAGTAGCTTGTCTCAGTTATTTTAGATCAGAATCAAAATATTTTGTTAAAAAAAATGTAAAAAAAATGGAGTAGGACTTCTAATACAACAGAAAAGCAGATCTTCCTCTGCATTCTTAAATATAGGCTTCAGGATTTAACACTGTAGTCCTTCATACCCATTTGAATTTCCATTGCATCCTTTAAAACCTTACCATGTACCAATCACTAGCCTGACAAAAAAAAAAAACAGGTGACGTAAAGTCATTAAAAAATAATAATATTCTCTGAAAATGAGTGTATATGGAGACTTTAAGCAAAACTCAGTAAAAATGTCAAGCTGCTTCTTGGGGAAAAGCAGGGTTACAAATCAAGACGACATACGCTAGGCTAGTAGCAATGCACCTGCTTAAAGATGGATGGATTGGTATCTACCTCTGTGGCTGGCAAACAGAAGACTCTTGAAACAATTCTGGACATAAGTACTCTCCTTTTCAAAGAGTGTTCAAGTCCTGCATGGTTTCCAGAATCTTGTTCTTGCCATCCATAGATAGGTAGTTTTCTACACATGAGAATTTCTAACTTGGGATAGAAAAATGCCCAGTGATGAATGGAAATGTGATTTCTGCAAGAAGTATTTGCACCCAACAGAGATGCTCTAGAATTGATCATAATTTACAGCCAAAGAGGGTTGCTGATGGTTAAGACTTTAAGCCAATTCTGTGCTTCAAAAATGTCAACAGTAACAGAGGAAGGAAGGAAACAGCAAAATTGCAGTGGACGTTGTCACAAAAGTACTTGCAGTGGACATTATCACAAAACCACTTCCATAATCCTGAAATCATTTGGGATCTGTGATTTAGGTTCACCATGAAACTAGTTGAGACCTTGCTCCCTCTACTTTTAATTGAATGTTGTTCCAAACCCCACAAGAATCTCAATGGTCACAAAAGCTTCAAACGATTATTTTGGTGGAATGTGATGGGGGTAGGAAGTTATTTGCTAACTAAGAAATTCTAGGTTTCCCTTTGATTTATCCTGGTAAAAAAAAAGTAAAAATCACACATTACAGATGTATATCATTCTTCACAGTCAGTTATAAACAGGTTTACCTGACCACCTTAGCAAACAGACCCCCAAAGAAGAAGAATAGGAGGGCAGGTTCCTTCAAGCAGAGGTATTGAAAGAAGAAAGAACAATCTATTGAGAAAGAGGGAAATGAAGACATAGATAGAAACAGTTGGCTGAGGGGAAAACAAGAGGTTAGTTTTACATTATCTAAAAGATGCAAATTAAAAGAAAGAGAGGAAAATCTGGAGACAGATTCTGTGCTGGTTTTCAGTGGTTATGATTAAATACAGCGACCACAATGACTTCTTTTGTTTTCATATTCATGTCCATAAGGACACAATCTCCATGTAGCTACCAGTAAATATTGAAATTAGGGACAACACTGCAAATTTCAAGGTCCTTTTTGGAACAAATAGGAGTGTGAATTGAGAAAGCATTTGTCAGGCTGCACCTTTTATAAAGGGCAAGTGGAGTGGCAGAAAAATGCTACACAAGGATATAGGAAGAAACCAGTGCTTTAATAAAATCCCAAAGTCGAATCATTAACACCACAAGTGATGCCCTGCCATTCTCCAATACGGACACCTACAGCTCCAGTTCCTCATCTCTACCTTTCCCCAGCCCACAATTACCTGTTTCTGCTCCTTCCCACATCCACGCTGCTGCTTCCCACACTCCCAGCTTATTACTTTAATAGCATTTTCTGCTCTGATTCTTGCTGAAGTAATGGGCATGCTAAAGGGCCTTCATTAGAAATGACATTTAGGCTCTTAAAGGATTAAAGTATTTCAGTTGTGTTTAAAAATATACTTTTACAGGGCAAGGGCCAAAGCACAAGTGTTTCATCCAAGGTCTACAGCTGGTAATTTCTAAAATAATGGTAGGGCTTTCACAGGTGGTAAATTAATGTCCTCCTCTACCAGAGAAGTGTTTCTCTGAGCACTGTCTTTTTAGAGCACCCCTAAGCTTTAAGGTGAGAACTGCCCTGTTTCATCCCCTCTTTTTCTGACTACCCAGGATTCAGCAGCCAGAGGGCCTCTGTGAGCTTCCAAGAGAGGACATGCAGCAAGGTTCCTCCAAAGACCATCAACTGGTTGAGGAAGCACTGTCACCACCTCTGCTGCAGGAGAGAACCCACCTACTGAAGAGATGGTTGTTGCAGGTTTACTTACAGAAGGTTTTGGAGCAGGTGATTTGTTGCTCTCTGGGGTCTTGGTTAACCACTCGTTGATACGACTGGAGACACCAACCTTCAGTCCAGCAGTTTCCTGCAAAATAATAAAATCTAATCAGAAGACTTTCAGAATAGCTTTTGCTGTTTTCCACGGTTTAGATTGAAAAACAAAGCCAAGCCTGAGTTTAATATAGAGGTCCTCACTGAGACTATGGCTAGCTAAGAGTCATCCTGTGTGCTCTGAAATTATTATCCCTATGAACTACACAGTACTACTACCCTCTATTTTTCAATAATGATAAATGTGGGCTGACAAAATCATTTCCACTTTAGTGCTAACCCAGGAATAATTGTTAGATGTACACCTGCTGTTTCTGTCATAACCCCAAACTCCAAGGAGAAAAAAATCTTTAGCCTAAAAGAAGAGACACCAGTCTAAGTCTACATTTTTGTTTTGTTAAACTAAAATTTTTCAAAAAAGCACATAATAGAGGAGTTAAGTGGCCTAAAATTTAAATTATTAAAATAAATCTTTAAAAGGTTAGAACAAATTACTGAAATTTCATGGCCATCTCTAATAATCCCCTTCAATCCATGGCTCAGTTTTTTAGCTATGATGAATGCTCATCAACTCACAGCAATTTATAGAAAGGAAATGTTGCCTTAAGGATTTACATAGAAAAGATAAAAGTCTCAACAAATGCTTCTATGCATTATCTATATAACATCATCATTATCTTGCCTATTTAATCCTCCTCTGCCCCCCGAAAGAATCTTTCCCAACACAAAGAGTTTCTTTGTACTCCGCTTGAACTACCCAGATATATTTGTCTAAGATATCTGATGTGGCTCTGGAATGTCTCATAACTTAGCTCAGTATGTCACTAAATTCTTCCGTTATACTCAATATTGCAGCCACACAATTTTGTGGGTTTCTGAGGACCTCAGGATCTGTTGGGATATTATTCACCAGTGATGTCAACAGGAGCAGCCAGGCTTACTCATAGGAACATGAATAGCAAGGTCAGGTCCATAACATAATTCTTCATAATCACTGTGTAAAATTAAACACATACCTTATTTGGTGTTCCTGTCCCAGAGGGTGATGAAAAAACATTCCCTTTCTCCCACATGCTCTTGATATTACGGACACCCTCAGCTGGAACAGGAAGGTCGGAGGCTGCTGGCTTAGCTGGTCTTGCAGCCTTTGTGCCCTACAGAAGAATTGAGGCCAGTTGGTGTTTGGCATTAAGAGCTGGAGTCACAGGGTGGTTTGACTCTGGGACAGTGCTGGGGAATGCAGCAGCTGTAAGTGGTTCTAGTGATGATCATGCAAAGACGGAAAGGAGTACCCAGCTCAAGAGATGCCACTGAGACTCTCCCCATTTTGACTTGCAGTTGCGCCCTTGACACGACCGGCTATGAAAACTGCAATCACTTAGATTTTTGCATTTCTAAAGCTCATGGCAAACCACAGCTCTGCACACAACTGCTCCAAGGCTTTCATTTGTCCTCTTTCAAGTCTCAGCATCTGCATCCTGTAAGCATGGCTCTTTCAGGGACACAGCTAAAGAAATCCTTATGCAGAGGCAGGGGAGAAAGGCTGCTCTGTCATTCAGCATCAGACTCTGTTCCATCTGTCCCAGACAACCTCACAACTTGGGATTCTAGGGGTAGACTTCAGCAATTACAGTATATTTGGAATGAGGTGGGTTTTTAAAGAGTGGGGGGTTGGGGGATTGCGTTTTTTTTGGCAGTGTGTCTTTTGCATGGTTACCAAAAACACTGGACCAAACTCCGCCTCTTCATTCTTTTCAAAATTCTTGTACATTTTACATAACACAGATTTGAGGAGAATAAGAACCTGTATGAGCTGAGGCTTTGCCTCTCTAGTTGCAAAGCAAGCCATATTTAGCAACTTTTGGAAAAATCAGAAACTCAGCAAAGGAATAATTTCAGGTCAGATGGGAGCTGTATATAGCTGTGAAGCTGCACTGCCTGCCCCTTGCCGTAGAGCTATGCTTTTTAATATCTAAATGGAGCATAAAGACTCAGGACCTTAGCACAGCCCTACTGAAAAAACTGGAGAACCTAATATAAGCTGGTGGGTGGACTGGTCCAGTGTTTATGAGTTGACAAACCCTGACTTCACTGTTACATAAATTTCTTATGACAGATGGATCTGTAGCTCCAAACCGTCCACTCTCTTTAAGAAGTTTAACATCAAACCACGGTGCCAAGTTAAAACCCTTGGTCGCTCTAGGGTGGTCATGTCTCATCCAGAAAAGGCACAGAGTGAAGTAGGAGGGCAGAAGCTGTACGCTCCTACTTCAATGATATGGGGACTACTGGGTGCCATGGTGACATTCATCACTAATGGAGGGGTTTGAGCTACCTTCAGCTTGACAGAGGTGCTGGAGGCAAGCCTGAGCCTTCAGCACTGTCATGCATGTGCTTTTTTTCATCGGGAACTGACACACAGTATAAAACTCTCTGGCACTGACAGGCTTCCTAGCAGAAAGGTTAAATGGACAGCAGTCACAGAAAAAAGCCTTTGTTAATTGATCTTTAGTTACTAAAGTTTCCTTTAAGTTCAAGGATAATAAAGCCTAACCAATTAATACCTTAATGGAATACCATGCTTAGACACTTATGTGAACAGGAGGAGAAAAAAAATCCAGCAGGGAATGAAGTAGTGCTGGACCTTAATCACAGCTATCAAGATAATATCCCTTTTTATACTATTTTATTCCCATGACACCTTCCAACCCAGTCCAGCTGGCCTGCTATATTAACCAGTAGCTTTCACATTGCCTGTACTCACTGATTTATAAAAACAGCTAAAACCAAAACAAACCAAAACAAAAACCCCAAACACCTATTTTGACTTGGACTATGAAAAGAAAAAGCCCTCAATTCTGGCTTCAAGGCACGTTATTAGCCAGTACTTGTCAAAATCACCTGGGGTCAAATTCTGCATTTTATTTTGATTCTGTTTTTCCTTTGTCACTGCTTAACTCCCTAGTTCACTAAAGTGTCTTTCTTTGCCAAGGAATTTCACTCTGAAGTGGCAGCCAGCAGCACAGGCCCAGTTCCTTGCTCTCGTAAATAAGCTGCTAAGTCAGCTTTGCTCAGGATGACTATCAGCTCTCTGCTGATAGTACTCTCATCAGCCAAGAGGAGGATGCGACTGTCACTCAAGAGATGCTGACTGAGTCCTTCAAGAGCTACTCCAAGCTTACAAAGCAGACAGAGTAAATTGTAGCATGAAAGGGAAGACACAAATCTGAGGTTTTCTTTAGATATATACCTTTATGTTGATTATAGGTGTGCCTCAAGCATTTTGTTCTTGAAGTCACATTAAAAAAGCGTTTGTGACCAAAAATCCCTGCAATTCTTCAGCAGTAAAACATAGGCTTATTAAAGTCCCAAAAGCCATTATAGAATCATTAAGGTTGGAAGAGACCTCGAAGATCATCGAGTCCAACCGTCAACCGTTACATTAGTAACTAGAGCCATTGTGACCTGGAATTAACTTACCTCAATTGCACTAGTGTATTGCTCAAGTCTACTGTCAATCTTTGAGACAACTGCTGTCGTGTGGGTGGGTTTCATACCACTGTAGGAAGTAGAAAAAAAGAGAGAGAGAAATTTTTATTCCCTCCAATTAAACACTGCTCTTTTGACTGAACCTACTGTTTTATTGAGCGGATATCCTACCTCTTCTGAGCGGATTTGTTCAAAAATTCTGCTCGCTCCTCTATCTAGAAAAGAGAGAAACAAGAGCTATAAGTTTAAAGTTAATGAAAAGGCAGCCTGTACAAGGCCAGGCTAAAATGTCATTTTAAATGTCAAAAGGTCAATCTGAAAGAGATGCATTCCAACAGAAATCACCACAGACAGACACACACAGAGGTTTTATAGTTAGGAACCTATTATGCTACAGATTCATAAGGGTGGATATATTTTCTGCATTAATGTTTGCATCCTGCATATTTCTTCAGTGCCTCATTTATAACAAGAGGATAAACCACCAATACAGAAAGGAGAAAAGGGAAGAAGTTTACCTTATGAAAGGGGTTGATATTCACAAAATCTATGTCAAATTTCCTCATATCTCCCGCATAAGAGCAAGTATGTATCTCTTGAGACAGACAGCAAATTTAATAAAGTTTTTCTGAGTTGAGACATCAGACTAGGCCAGGTTTGAAGCTCAGCCACATACCCTATCTCATGCATGTTTTTGCGGGACACTGACAATTTAATTTGAGCTCCAAAAAACCAATCAGACTGTACTCTGCTCATGTTCAGCAGGGTCATTGCTAAGTCAATATCTATCAGCTGTTATTATACAAATGGGTATCTTACATTTCATCATTATTCTCTACTCTGTGTGTAAGGAAATATTGTAATGTTTCCAGAGAAAAAGAATCATGAAGGTCTCATAAGACTTATGCCAAATATCTCGATAATTTGAAAACAAGAAGACTCCATCCCTGAATAAAGTTTTAAAACATTTCACGATTGGGGGGGGGTGGGGGTCTATCTGCATTCTGGGTCAAGAAATAATTTAATCAACTTCCTCATGTCTCTTCCACATTACATTGTTCTACTTCTTGTCCCAGGCTCTACAGTTTCACTTAAGAGTAAAATATACACAAGCAGATCCAGGGGACAGAAATGACTATTAATCAGCCTGGCTGGATTCCTGTGGGTTCCCTGGTCTCAGTATGGGTTGTCCATTTTCCAGTTACTTTAACAGTGACTGCTGTGGCATTCATGCCTTCAAAATAAGGCAAGACAGCCATTCCTTTAAATGGTTCTCCTCGGTGCCCTTAGCATCCAGGCTGCACCAGAATACTAAATTCCACAGCAATCCCATCAAAGGGCACGCATGTTTTATTTCTCAAGCCCATACAAGCAAAAGCTCAGGCAGTTCACTTCAGTGCAGAATTTGCCAAACAAGCTCACTGGAGGAACTCCAGTGCATCAATCCAGCTCAGAGGCACCTCTAAAAAATATATACAATTTACAGAATAATTTACATTAACAGTTTCAGTTGCCAATATATGCGTCCTGAGTGGAAATACGGGCTTCGCTCGGATACGTACCAACTGTTTCAACGCACTGGTGTCACAAGGTGGCAGCAATACACCAGGCAGGAGCTAAAGAGCCATGCACACCCATAGGGGTCCGGAGCTGAGGCTCTTCCTCTGCCAGCCTTAACAGTTTACGACTTAGTTTCACCCAGAGGAAATACAGTCGGCATTGCCATAAAACGAGCAAATAAATTGTTTGGTTAAAAGTGACTAAACAGATCTACGATGGTAACTTAAAATATGTCACCTCTCCTCGATTATGGTACAGCAGGAAAAGTTTCCCACAACGCTGATTTTTGGGTGATAACCAGTAATGCATCAAAATGATGAGTCATACCAACAAGAGACGCTGGTTTCTCCCATGCTCTGCATGAACAGGTAATTCCCCGACTGCATCAATCAGTGAAACCCTGGCTGGCAGCAAGGACAAACAATATGGACTATCTCAAAGAACCACGACTCAAGGTAACCATCTAACAATTCATTTACAGCATCTTCTAGTTCAGATGAACTGAGATTCCACTTGAAATCTTACAAAAGGGACTCTTTATAGTCTTCCTGTGTTCAGGAAGGAGACATGTTTCTACACAGCAGGAAAACCTGGCAGCAGTAGTCACTGGTGTAAGAGGGTGGTAGGTTGGGGGGAAGATAGACATGTATTCTTGGGGCTGTAGTAAAAAGACATGGGGTCATTCTTTACCCGCTGGAAACAGCAGTTCTCAGAGCACCTGCTGTGGTATCAGGAATAAGTCCAGGATTGTTCAGAACAGAAGGGTGAGGAAGAAAACCAGAAAATAAGTTAAACAGGAAAGCAGAGTTAGGAAGCGACCCTCAGAGCTGAACATGGTCCTCTTCCCGAGGAAGCAGGTGCCTTGTGTGGATGGGTAACACATTTTCTGCACACTTCTGTGAGAATTGGTTCTAGAGCATCTTCCTCAAAACACAGTATGCATGGAACAGAAGTACAGGTTGAATACACTTAGAGCAAACACACCTGTATACACAAGTGTATTCAACATATAAGTCAAATACATTTAGACTGCACAGCAACATCTAAAGGTCATTTATCCACTGCATACCACACAAACTCCATGCAAAGAATTTAAAATGTTTGGCACATACAGTAAACAGTATTACAAAATAGATCTGTAAGAGAAACAGGCAAAGCAAGGTGGTTAGCACAAAATGCAAGATATTTCCTCAATTTGAGACCACGAAATAAGAATAATCTTTTTGCTGCATTCATTTAAACAGGGTCTTGTTAAATAGCTTGGACTATGTTTTGTCGCCATGGAATACTTTCCAAAGCCTCTGACACAGAACACACACATACTCCAAAAAGTCAACCTGCCGGCCTCTAATTAAATTATGACCAGAGAGAAAGAACACAGGATCTCAGGCTGCATCTCTCCCACCTAACCTCAGTTGCTTGAAAGTTAAGCATTTAGTCAAAACTACTCATTTTGGTTCCCTCTATAGTCAGTGGAGACGCAGAGGAGCTCACTTCACCCTAGGAAAGGTGGGATTGCTTGTCCACTCAGGGTAGCTCTCTCTCTCTCTATTAACTACCAAAGAAGCTTAGATTAGACAACAAAACACTTAGATGGACACCTACCCTTCTGCTGGTAAAGTCAGATGAAATGAAACCAATGGACATAAATCAAAACCATGCAGAGTCTCATACCTGATTAGGGCCTTACTCAACACGGTCAACACATACAAGTGGCAAGGAATAAATGAACCAAGATGTTACACAGAGATATATGTATGCAATTATCCACATTCAATATTATGTAGACATGTTTTGTTCACTGATTGTGCAAGAAATATCTTGCCTATTAAAAATGCAGTTAAATTGTGGGTGTCAAAGTGCAGTCTTCCGTCTGTACATTCTCCAAGAACAGAAACAGAATGGAAGAGGAATGAGTTACCACACAATTTGAGCCAATGACTTGGGAAACAAAAAACATTTAGATATTCCCAGTAAAACTTGCTTCATACAAAGGTATTAAATGATGCTCAGGAATTTTAAACTATATATGAGATACTATGCAACAGAAAGTGTAAACTGATATAGAAAAACTTTCCTCAAAAAATGGGTCAAGGAGGAAAGGGAATAAGAAATGCATGCAGAAAACAGAAATCCCTGTATTATAATTTTGCGTCATATCCAACAGGTGGAAATCCATTTTGAGTAGTAGTCCCTGGGAGTAAAGTGGCTTCTCCTTATCCTCCCTGAGTGGCTCACGCGCTCTTTTGCTTCATTAAGCACAGTTAGACTTTTTCCTGCTGTCAGCAGCATCTGTGCAGAGCGCACCAATTTACTCCAGTTTATCTGCCAGGCTAGAGTGCTGCCATCAGCATCAAAGATGGGGGAAAAACAAATGTGACAAATCCTGTTCTTACTACTCTATCTTCCCTCTGCTGCAAGAGTAGCTCATCTAGGAAGAACTGATTGTGTGGAGTCTAATTCTTTCCAGTCACTGCTCCAGCTGTCAGGTATTGAGAGCAATAATGAGATAGGACAAGACAGGTCTTTAAGGAAAGAAAAAAAAAATCTCAAGCCCTGAAAGGTCCTATCTTCTGGCTTAGCTGTCAGCATTGCCTTGCAGAGAGTGTGGGCTGCCACATCAGCCCATGTTTCCCAGAAGACATTTTCTGCAAAGACAGCAGATGTTCCAGGCTCGCAGCCTCCTGCCATTGCTTTGTCCCCTCAATGCCTAACAGCTTTTGTATTTCTGTAGTGGTGGAGCTCACCCCCAAGAGGAGACTTAGTATTGAAATACCCTGTTATCTCCTGATTAACCTAGAGAATAGTTATACAAGAAGTCAATAACACTCCTTCCCAAAGAAAACATGAGGAATGAACTTGTCTAAAAAGGAAAATGAACAAAGATTATGCAGGAAATCTCATTCTTCTACTGCATTTGTGTGAACTAAACTAGGGAAAGCATGAGCTAGAGCGGGATGGGAGAGCTGCAGAGGTTGTTCCAGTCTTTGTCCTTATTTAAAAAAAAAAAAGAGAGAGGGCAGAGGCTGAAAAGAGGTTTGGTACTGCTGCTACTGCCCACAGGGACTCCACCAGCCCTCAGAAATCCAAGCTGCTTTGTCCCTGAGCTAGTGATGAACTTGTCCTGTGTTTACGTTGCATGCTTCCTCTTCACTGTCACCTCGGAAAGGACCAGCCCTGGTGCTGTCACTGGGAGGACTCCATGCTGCAGTAGTAGTTCTGCTGAAGTAGCGTCTCAGGTTTCAGGGAAATACTGTATTTAACAGTTAAACCAACAGTTGTCGTCAACACTGTGTAGGCTGTGATGTATTAGAGGCCAGACTAGATAATCACAGTAGTTCTCTCTAAATATAAGCATGTATGTATATTATGTCCGTGTGTGTATACATACATTTATACATGTGCATCCATGAGCCATGTAATACATGGAGATGAGTTGCACGTCTTGGTCTCTCAATTCTGAGTCTGCACGTCATGCTAGTCCATGCCCTGCCTGATGGATAAATGCAGTGTCCATAAGATGGTAATATGCCATACTCCTTTTCAGTTTATCTCCCTTCTTTCCTTTGTTCTTGTAGTTCACTTGGTAAACAGCATGCCCTACTTTCCTCATCTAAGTCACTCCCAGGAACTTCTTTTTCTTCCCAAAACCTTATCACATCAGGAAGTACAAGGAAGGAGAAAAAGATGCTTTGCCAGATTGTAATCTAGAAGTCAGAATGTGCACGTGTCATACAGTATTTTAATATTGAGCCTCCTTTTTTTCATTATTAATTCCAACCGCCCCCCCACCATTGTGCATTTAGGGTTCTCACATGACTCATGACACATCTAACCAGATCATATATTAACCAAGGGAGAAAATATGTGCCAGATGCTTTACAAGTCAAAAGATAACTTGGGCAATGAGAAAGCTGTGTACCAACCAGGTTAGACTAGCCTGAGAAGTCTGTCCAAATGAAAGGTAACAAAATATACTGCCTTCTAAAAACTGGAGTTTGACATCAAATTTGACATCAGGTTATTAAAGTGAGATTATTCTCTCCTCAGCTATTGACCACAGAAGGCCAAGAAACAGTTTAGGGTATGAAGTTCAACAGCATTACATATCTACTCTGGCCACCCACAGACACCGGACTGGAATATGTACAGTATCACCAATTTCTCAGAGAGAGAGACAGAGAAAGAGAAAAAATGTGTACATAGTTGTATATATCAGTTTTTGTAACAAACAACTTCTACCTAACAAGTCATAAAACCCAGCAACAATTATCATCATTAAAAAATTGGATCTTGGATGCTTAACGACATTTGGAAAATTCCAGCTTTCCTCTAAAAATACACTTAGTAGAATAGTGTAGCATCAGTCCAAAAGTTCTCTGAAAGCTATTAACCTCCTGCCAAATCCAGTGTTTTTTCCCACTCTCCCCGAAATCATGATTTCTATCTTTCTATTTTGTGTTTTCAAGTATAATTTCCTCTCTTCTGAGTCATCTGTGAACTGAAGCTCCAAATGTATGTTATAAAAGGCATCTCAATAAACAGAAAGAAGAAAAAGAAGCCCTCCCAGGAGGGCTGGGAAGAAGCTGTACATTTATAGTGTCTGTTATCGACATAGTCTTTTGCAACCGAAATGGCAAGACCAAGTTTATCCAATAGGAGCAAGTCGTGAAGCTTGGCAATCTTCGTTTACAGCTGTATGTATTCTGTCCTTGTATTTCAGGTTCAGATGCGTCTGAGAAGTCAAAGGCAAGTCCAGTCAAAAGCATTTGGACACTGTAGTTGCTAGAACTGGACCCAACACAGTATAGGGCTGAAGCTCCAGATCGGTTCAAAGTGTGGATCTCTGTGAGAGGAAATGTAATTTCGACCAAATGCAGTTTGTCACTCAACAAATACAGTTCTTAATCCCACGGAGATCCACTTCATGGTCCAATGAGCCTGATAACCTCCTGCCTGGTTCTTTTCTCTCCTAGTGCCCACTAAGGAGCCTTTTTAGACAAACATTTAGGATTCTTAAATGACTAATGACACAAAATGAGAAACGGAAAAGATAGTTGAAAACTATTAATAGATCTGTAGTTTGAGCTTGAGCTGAGAAAGCAACTGGACTGCATACCAAAACAAAGTTCCCAATAATTTCAGTAGGGCCAGGATTCCTCTTCCATGCTGAAAGGCCATTTAATTGATTTATCTGACTTCCAATATAATACAGGCCACAGAAGACTACTTAGAAATTCCTGCAGCAACAGAATGGGGTCTTTTCCTGTTATGTAAGAAAATGAAATCCAGCCCAGTACTTCTAGATGTTATTTTTAGGGGAATTAGACATAAGCTAGAACTCCCATATGGGGCAGTTTCAATTAATAATGATTAGACTGAATATGCTTAAAGACATAGTAATCTGGCAAGGAAGAAAGTAATTGTGGATGTGGAAGGAGAGAGAGAACATTTGTGATCTTTACCTACTCCAGTTCACAAAGTACTCCTATAATAAATTAACGTTGATAATCAACACAGTAATACAGCTCTAAGTTTCCAAAATAATTTTCTCTTGAAGGTGAAGATCCTTTTTGGACATTTTTCATCAACAAGAACAGGTAACTCCCAGTCTAGACTCTATTTTTAGAAAGGATCTCTAATTTTCAATTATCCCAACAAATGAAGACTTTCAGCTAAAGGTTTCAGGCTAAGGTCTATTTCAGAGCATTGTTCCAGGTCTGATTTCAAGTATTTCCACACTGCTTTGATGTTTGGCTGTTGGTTTGGACTGCAACCCCCATTACTTTTTATGTACTATATAGATGTTAGTGGGGAGGTTACCTTGAGAGATGAACCTTTAGGACTGAAACATTTAAATGGCTTCTTGTCTTCAGATACACCATCTTCTGGCATCTTTTGACGTTTCTCAGCAGCTTCAGCCCTTCTCCTTTCAATTTCTTCCTTCATCCTCCTCTTTTCCTCCTTAAAAAAACATGAATGGTCACTTATTCTTTCAGAAACTACATCACCATTAAAGGGCTTTGCAGTCCTGCAATCATTTACCAAATTTTCTAAGAACAGATTTTTATTCCAGTCAAAAAAGTTCAGTGACCTATCTGAAATCTAGCAACATATTGCTGCTAGTCCATCACAGTGTTAAGCAGGGAAGACAGCTAGCCTGTGCTGCTTGAGTGTCTCCTCACAGTGAGGTCACCAGATTTATTGCCATATAGTGCCACTTAAAGAGAGAAGAAAAGCACATTTATAAAAATACTCAACTTCAGTTTCTCTGTATCCTCATGTATCATCTTTGTACTGTTCTTCTGTCCATCTACACTAGCACTTGTTGTGCCAAGGTTAATGATTCACAAGGAAAAATCAATAGCTGCCCCAAAAAAGTGAAGACTAAATGCTTACAGTTTTCCCTCCAAAGAGATAATGCAAGTTTTTACTTCATAAGCTACAAGTCAAACCAGAAGTCCTCAAAGCACAACCATTGCGAGCACCGGTTAGCAGGGTCTGACCAGCAAGGTATTGTGCAATCTCAGCATCTATTGAGTTCTACTGTAAAGAGCTCAGTATATTAAAGCAATTGGCATCCAGCTGCCAAACACTATTATTATTTATCTACCATTCGTTTTCCAAACAACTAAGATTCCTACATGATGCACCAGAGATTTGGAAGCCCTATTTATAGAGTCCCTTGGCAGAGAAAGTACAAGCAAACAGATGTGCTTGGGTACTCAATATTTAAATAGACAAGAATATCTTCCTAATGAGATCTAGCCCATCGTAACTATATATAACATTAGCATTCCAGCTCATCTGCAACAGACGAATTTTGACATGCACTTTGTAATTCAATTTGTGTAGTGTCAAAAAGACACCCCAAATAAATTAAGAACTCCATGGCTATAACACTGCCCCCAACATTTTGCATCCCCAAGGAGATAAGAAATTCGCAACTATCGCAGATGAAATCCTGACTCGTGAAGACATTTATTAGGTCCCTGCCTTTCCTGAGGCTAGAACTGTAACGTTTCTTTCTACCCTGGATGACTGCATGTTTTACCTCAGGTCCTCACTAGAGCATCGCTAATAAACAGCGATGCCCAGAAAAGCACACAACCCAGAGGGCCCAGATAAAAGGCGCAATTTGAAGCAAAGTCACAGCAGCAATTCCCCACACAGCAACATCATATCCGAGAAGGAGAAGCACACTTCGGCCTGTATGCTCAGGTTTGGTGTTGCCTTCCTTGTGCACGCTCCTTCCTCACCTATGAGCCAGTCTCCCGAGGCCTCATTCTGCCCTTTTGTTAAATACAGACCCATCAACCTCCAGCCTCACCAACTTCCTTGCCTAAAAGTGTCTGCGCAGACACTGCTGTAAAGAGTTATCAACTAATGCAAGGCCAGTGGAAGTAAAGTAGTAACAAGAAGGGACTAAAAACAGAGTCCAATACTTCGTATTTTACACTTACCTCCTCTCTGGCTTTTCTCTCAGCCTCCTCCTGCTTCTTCTTCTGCTCCTCTTCTTCCAGGATTTTCCGGCGCTCCTCCCGCCTTTTCTTCAGTTCGTCCAGCTCTGCCACCGCCTCCTGCTGCTTCTCCTTCAGCTTCTCAAACTCCTCATTCTCACCTCGGCGACGGCGCTGATCTTCTAGCCGCTTTCCAGCCTCAACTTGAGACCCTGGCTTCGCTTCCTCAGCGTTTGCGATCCCTTTCAAATTGGAGCGGCTAGGAAAGAAATGAAAGGGAAGGTGATGCACCACGGATTTTCCCTTCCTGGCCAGAGCCACCCACTGCTATGCACCCACCAGCAACATGAGAGCCTGGTACTCAAAGATATTGCCTTATAAGACCTTTTGCTCCTTGCAAACTACGACAGGCCTAAAACATTTCTATCAGGAGTTAGTAGGCTGGGATACTACAAGGAGCACCTCTCCCATCTGCCGCCAGTGACGAAGGAGTCTCTCGTGTGCTTGTGTGCACAGGAGCTGCACCACCCTGGCTGAGAACTCAGGCCACCTCCATTTTTAAGAGAATTCAGTAACTGAGCTTGAAATATTTAACATCTCATGTAACTTCAGCAAGAGGTATCATATCTCATCACCATCTCTATGGTATACAGTAAACTGTTACAGTTTCACACCTTGTCTCTGCAGTTTGTGTACAGAGGAAACACTTCCAAAAGCATATTATACTTCATACAGAAAACAAAGCAATGGAAAGCTATAACTAATTCCTCTCTGTTGATTTTAAATGAGATAAATTTACGTATAAAAAACTCATAGCAAAAATATTATGCTATGTTCTGTGTAATAAAAGATGCGCTAATCCTTTGCTTTCAAAGGCAAGTATTTTTTATAAACCCTCTAGAAAAAGATAAGCATCTTTGGGGACAGAATAAATTACTTGACTTGGGGAAAACAGAAGGAAACAAGAGAGGGGGTGGAGAGAATCTTACAGCTTCAGCAGTGTTTTAAAAACCTAAACAGGTTCCTATCTCATCCGTAACACCTAACACTTTAACTCTCCCAGCCTGCATGAACAGAAAAGTTCATCAGATCTTTTGCTGACATTTTCCAGGGAAAGTATGACTTTTTATTAAGGAACTGGAAATTATTTATTAATGGCAACTTTCCACAGGAGAAAACCAGAAGTTTTCCAACCAGCTGTAATATATGAGACAGAAAGAAAGCATACCAAAAAAAAAAACCCAAACCCAAAGAATTTGCATAGGTGAAGTGCATACTTTCAACACAGTCAGATAGCATCGCCTAGTTAAACAATTACCACACCAGTGTTTAGACAAATGTCTGCTCCCTGAGTGCGTTTAATATTACTGCTGACAAGGAGATAGGTACCTAAGAGATATCAGTGTGCTATTCACAAGAGACAGAAAAGGAATGTACTTACGGATTTTTTTAAAAAAACTTTCTGCTCTGTTCTGTTGGCATTTAAAAAAGATGGATATTAATGACATCATTAATGCAACCAGAGTGTTGCAGAGTATAATACCACAAGACAGTACAAATCAAGCGTTCCAACAATAACAATAACTGTTAGAGACAATCAGATTAGAGATGACAACATGAAGAACAAATATCATATAAGTTTGTAATCCAGTGAATCACACCCAATCCTGCAAAGGTGCTCTTCATTCAGATAGATGCCTCATCTAGATGGAGTTAACCATATAAAACAGGCTGTAGGACCGGAGCTGAATTATCTGTGGTTTCAATATCACAATGGAATCTACTAACACAGAGTCCTCTGCCCCCACACGATCTTACCAGATTGGATGAAATTCGGTTCTAGTACAGCACGCATGATCTAGGAACTGTATCATTAAAAAACATATGGCAAAATAGCATACCAAACTGATGCTATTATGTGAATTCAGCTGCTGTACTTCATCTGTGCAAGTTCAACACTAACTTATTTTGCAATGTGTTTACTTGGTTTTAGAAAGTCTTTCCTATGCAAGAGTGTAACATGACAAAGCAAAGCTAAAGAAAAAAAAATGTCCCAGAGATCTGTGAATGTATGTACCCCCAGTACATTCTCATGCCTGATTTTCTAACTTAGAGTTACAAGTACATAACATATATTTCTTAGTATCACCTTATCACAATCCTTCTCTGCTCCAGGCCCTATTCCTGAATGTGTTTTGGCAGTGGAATCTCTTAAACCATGAAAGTAGAACCACAAGATCACCCTCCACCATAAGCATCAAGTTAATGTAAGTGGTCACAAATAAGGGCTTGTATCAGGTAGTGATGTCTAATTAAAGAAAGCAACTCATGCTTTTTTAATGAAAAATACATATACAATTAACTAAAGCATTGTAAGAAAACATTGGAAACTTTATTTGAAATTTCATTTAGCCCATTCAAAAACAAAGTGAGGACCAATACCTGAGGTGAGAAGTATGATTTTGGGTGTCCAGCCTGAAATACCTCTGATTCAGTTTGCAGAGGTACCGAGAACCCAAAATATTCCACAAGCCTCTATAAGGCATTAAGTATTTCTATGGATCCAGTGCATCTATCCTGCACAGGCCATGAGAAATCCCTGGCTATTTTAAGGCTTTCCTGCTTCATTGCAAGGCTGTAGCCTCTACAGCAAACATCCCAGGAACCTCACTATTTTTTTTTTCCCCCTCTTGGTCTCTGAAGTCTGTGTTGCCAACCCACGCAGACCTGCAAGCTTCGGGCCCAAAGAAAATGCAAGAGGTCACTTCTGATAGACATAATGATATCCCTAGCAAGTGCAAATACTCAGCCCTCAGAATTAAGAGAATTAACATAACATTTGCCAAGATTCTCTTAATAAATAGCCACTCTGTTTTATATTAGCACAGAAGAAAGGTTAGTCCTCAGTGAGTTCAGTGCAGATAGCCTCAATGAAATTAACAGCTACTCTCAGCTTTCAACTGATAAAAGCTAAAGTTAGAATCTAGTCTTAACATTTTTGTTTGGAGACCTCAGGTGACTATTTTGTCCTCCTTACAAAGAAGGACATTTAAAGTTTCTAGCTTATTTTATTCTCATGCAGCTTACAGGACTTCCCCTACTGGTTCTGCATAATCCAAAATAGCAAACAATAAACTGGCAGTAATTCTCCTTATTTTCCTCCACCTCCTAAACTCCTGTGTTTTCAACAGATTCTGGGAATCTCTGTTCCCTACTGTCGACATTGGGAAATTAGTTTTGAGATGCTGGGTGGAGGAAGAGTTTCATAAGCACTTCTTTGGTGCTAAGAAACAAAGTTGGTTGCCAGCTTTCAGACAAGGAGGAAAAGGAAAGAAGTGGTTTGTGGGAGCCAAAAGTGTCAGAACAATGTGAAAAAACATGTTACATCATATTTAGGACTTTTGCAGTCCTGTATGAGAATAGGGAGGAAGGCAGGTGGGAGGGGAGATGGGAAGGGGAAGCCATAAAATGGGGGTTTATTCTGTATTTCTTTAACTGACTGACATAGACAAACAAGACACAGATAAGATTTTTCTTTAGCCTCCCCTACCCTATTTTCTTCTCAATCCTTACCACTGAGAGTTAGCCAAGTTACATGCTTCCTAACTAGTATCTGATATGTTCATGTAGAAACAAGAAGAAAGATAATTCCAAACAAAGCCCAACAATGTGGGGGCAGTTTGTCAGAAAGCAGGCCAAGAGCCTTAATTCATACCTAACAACGCAACGAACACTAGAGCCTCTGCTGATGTTGCCAATGCAAGTCTTTTACTCAAGCTGATGAAAGGCTATTAAACAGGCTTCTTCCCACATTTGGGAAACAGTAGAAGAAAATTAGAAAAAGAAAAAAAGGAGTGGAAACTCAAATCTACATGTTGCCACTAAGGCCTGTCTCCCACAGGAAGTAAAGCAAATGAAAACACAACAAAAATATTTTTAGAAAACCATTCTCATATTATTGATGATGTGACCCAAGTCATGAAGCAGGACAGTTCTGAGCAAGGCCGATTTCCTGCTATTCCATCTCCATATCTGTCTGTCTTTTGGCCTTAGGTCAGGGTGTCTCCAGGGACTTTTGAACTGCATTTTGTTTTGAGAAAGTTTGTTTTTCCCGGAAGAATCACAAGGGGAATGCTGAGATACAACAGCAAATCCCATCTGCCATGCACAGATTTCTAAAAGCGCCTGGAGAGCTTAATCTTTGCTTTGCCTGTGTTAATGTAAAAGAGAAAGAGAGGTGCAGAAGGAAAAAAATTTAGATTTCTAGCCTATTCGTTCCTGTTTTTCCTGCTAAAAGGAAGAACAACTGCTCTGCTTCGTGTATTCCCTCCTTTTAGCAGGCAGAATCCTTTTTTAATAAACTTTTCACTAAATTTGTTATACCTTCATTGAATTTCCCAATATAGCCACAAGGCAGATATTTCCTTGAAAAGAAAAATAAAAATCAAACTGTGATACAGCTTATAAAAAGACAAAAAATAAAACATTTTGACTAGGAGAGGTTTTCACCAAACTGAAAAATCACTTTTATAGAGAAGCCATTAATTTCAAGGTTGCCTTGAAATCTTTCAGGAGTTACCAACTGGATTGTGCTCCATACTGATATGCAGAGTCTGATTAAAAGCAGGTGGGTAATTAGAAATAGGTTATGACAGTAAAGGTTGAGATCTGACTTTAAAAATTAGTTCCCAAATTTAGCCACAAGGCAGATATTTCCTTGAAAAGAAAAATAAAAATCAAACTGTGATACAGCTTATAAAAAGACAAAAAATAAAACATTTTGACTAGGAGAGGTTTTCACCAAACTGAAAAATCACTTTTATAGAGAAGCCATTAATTTCAAGGTTGCCTTGAAATCTTTCAGGAGTTACCAACTGGATTGTGCTCCATACTGATATGCAGAGTCTGATTAAAAGCAGGTGGGTAATTAGAAATAGGTTATGACAGTAAAGGTTGAGATCTGACTTTAAAAATTAGAGAACACAAAATCTGGGCTGTGGTCATTACTGACCTCTGTGCAGATATTAGAAATAAATGTCCTTCAAGGAAGGAAAACGCCAACAGAGCAAAAATAAGCCACTCATCTCTACTGAGGGAGCAAGACTATTATTTACATCTGCTTTCTGTACTTCATTTTGTTACTGCAACAATGTGGGGGCAGTTCATAAGAAAATAGTCCAAGAGCCTTAATTCATACCTACAACCCAATGAACGCTAGAGCCCCTGCCGACGTTGCCAACCGAAGTCTTCTACTCAGCTGCTGCAAAGCTATTAAAGAGAGACCCAGAAATGGCCCCCTGCTCTGCTATAACATAAGCAAGCCCAATGCTCACTTGGAACTTACCCAAAAGCATTCTCAGTAGATTTAAGTTTTGGGGCAGTGACTTCACGTTCTCCGTTCTGTGCCTTTTGTTCAGGAACTCCCTTCTTACGATCCCAGATACTTTTCATTTCCTCTTTGGGTGCTTTTCCTTTATCCTTGTCATCTTTTACCTGCTCAGGAGATACCGTAAATCATAGAACAAAAAAAAAAAAACAAAAACAAACAAAAAAAAAGAAGTCACAATGAGGCATTCTAAATAACAGTGGAGGAACACAGATTTCTTGGTATTGATGATTAACTAAGCAACTGTCTTCAAAATGTTTATGTGTTTTATGGCAGAAGTAGTTTGTAAAGCTCTAAACTGTGACCAACCACCACTCTGCTGTCCTGATCTAAATTCAAGATGAAAACATCTTGAATAACATTATCAGTCTTCTGTGAAATTTTGTTGCGGCCATGGGACCATGCTACCACTTTGCTTCATTCTGCAACTGCACCCCACTGACGCACCCCAACCCTCTTCCGTCCCACTGCAGCATCATTCACCTGTTGCCTATTAAGATTCTGGGTTGCAAATTCTTTGGGACTAGGCTTGTTGATACATTCTTGGTACAAGGTTTAGGGCATTGGAGCAATAAAAATAACACATAACCTTCACCAATTCTCAAGTTTGCTTGATGAAGTTCACGCTCTTTCCAGTGTCACAGCAGATGGATACTTCAGTATTGCAAGACTAATGGCCAAAACACAAAATTATCTTTATATCAGAGTAAAACTTACTCTGACAAAAAGCACAGTCCTACCAGAGGGTAGTCATGGACAGTGTTATCAGACATGAATATTTAATCCTATGAAGCAGCAAATGTTCTCTCCAGGAACACTAGAGCAAAAATCCCTTCTATCCTTGCGAAGCTTTGTCCTATAATTCTTAATAGCAATCAAGTATATTTAGCACATGGATTTCACTCTCCAGTATTCCTTCAGAGCTATGAGCTTGAAGTATTTATCAATACCACAGATGGCCTGATCCCAGCATGCTGAGTCATGACTAGATGCTGATAGGAGGAGGAGGATATGGACTAATTGAAGTTCTTTATCCTCAGGTAGAATTATTCCCACTCAGTTAGTTAGACTACCAGCCTAAATAAACTTTCAACAGCAGCAGATGAAACATTTGCCTTCAAATTTTCTTTTTTTTTTTTTTTTCCCAGCTCTACCAGGCTGGAGGAAGATTCTAGCTGGCAAGCAAGAAATACCTTCTGTGAAAAATTCATATGAAGACCTTTAGGAAAAAAATACTTTTGTCCCTTGGAAGCCTGTTGCCATCCCATTTGCTAACTAGAAAGAAAAAGAACTTCCATAACAGTCCTGTCTGCAACACA